CAAGAGGGCCAGCCAGATTGGTGTGTGTGTGTGTGTGTGTGTGCGCGTGCATGCACTGAAGTAGTAAGTACAAGTATCTTCCCGTTAATACTGACAGGCACCTATTTCACTGATCAAATAAAAAATCCTACGGTGATATTTATAATACAAAATAAAGGTCACCTAAATGTTTAATAACAAGGAAAGAGCTGAGTAAACCAGAGTGCCTCTCTATGATGAAATACTATGCAAGCCTCAAAATACCCTTGTTTTGCAAACCATGTATTGGTGTCTGTTTTATGCCAGGAATTGGGGCTGAGGACGAGACAAAAAGAGATGCTCCCACCAGTCAAGGGAGGGGACAGGCAGGCTCATAAACAGATAAGGGACTTGGACTGTAGCAGATATCATGACTGGTGTGTGTGTGTGCGCACGTGCAAGCGTGTGCATGTGTGCATGGGTAGAGAGTGGGGTCCCGGGAGAGGGAGACCATCCTTCTGGGGTTGATGTGAGTTTAGGAAAAGTGATTTAGAAGATGAAACTTGAGCCAAGTGTTGACTCTTTCTGAAGAGGTTGTAATGACATGGGGAAAATGTTTCAGTTATGATGTTAATTGGAAGAGAATTAAAAGATGCATAGGTAGCAGGATCTGACGTTCATAGAGCCACCACACCAGCTCTGGCTTGCTTGACACCGAGTTTAATTTGTAATGAGAAAGAACTTAGAAACTTTCATCATGTGTAAACTATTGTTATTTTGGTTTTTCTGCTGCTCACTGCCCAGACAACTCTAACTAAAATATGTACTTTATATCCCAGGGTCCTAGCAGGAACACAGATCAGGCTTATTTGAAGAGAGTTTAATGAAAGGCCTATTTATAAAGGCGTGGGTAGGGTATAGAGGTATAGAGGGTACAGCCCCCCACAGCTCATAGCGGTTGTGTGTCGGCCCCGGAGGTCTGAAGAGGGGAGGAGAGGGAGCAATTACAGGAACCCAGAACCAGAGAGAGCTGTGTAGAGAGGCTGCCTGATCAAAGCTGTGAGCTTCAGTCAACGGAGACAGTGAGTGTTGATCTGGAACCCAGGGAAGTAGGAGAATAAATTCCCTGACTTGGCCATCTTCCCATCTTCTGACCTCTGGCTGTTGCCCCCATTGGCTGAATCCAAGTGGAGGGTGTAGGAGTCCTTTGATGTAGTTCAGCTTCCCAGAGCACAGGGCTGGGGGAGGGTGGTTCTGGAGGGTCACAGGGAAGCACCTCTCATCTTGTGTCCAGATGAAAAATCCATGTCCCCAGCACAGTGGACACACTGTGTCCCATCAGCTACTAATCAGTATATCAGTGAGAAGGGATGGCAGTTTGGCATCCCCTAAACCTAAAAGGTTAGCTACCTCCAATGTTCTTTACATAAGTTGGCAGGGAAACTGGGGGTTACAAAGCCTGCGTTTAGATCACCCCTGCCTTCACCCCAATGACACATCCTCCTTATTCTTTGCCAGCACCAGGTTCTTTACCTGGTAGGTGACTCAAACCTTTACTCCTATAGGGTCTGGGTCCTTGGTGGTCTTGACTTCGTTGGGTTGCTGAAGTTTTCTGTCAACCGGGACCACTGGTTGGGATAATTATGAGGCCTTCGGTGACTCCCCTGGGCTCCAGATCTAGCCCCATCTCTATTATGCAGTAGCAGCCTAATTGTCTCTAGTAATTGGGCTTAATCAGCCGAGACAGTACAGAGGCGCCTTTCTCTGCCTATTGGATCAGTAGCAGGAGAAACCAGAATGGCCAGGGGCCATCTCAGCTTCCAAGTCATCAGTACTATGATCGTTAAATGGTGGAAGAGTTTCTCCCTTGGGTACTAGGATCACCACACCCCTTGAGTCCATTCAGTTACTGGCATGGGAAGCAAAAATTCTTCCAATAGGTTACAGACTTTACGTATAATATTGAGGAGGCTCCAGCTACCCCTACCTCTTGGTAATATATGATTCTATATGGTTATGGTTTAAAGGATACACTGCATCAAGTAGGATAGTCCTTCATCTTGCAGAGTGTAGTTTCTCAGCTATGCTACAAGTGAGTCTTCAGCAGACCAATCCACCATTCTATCTTGCCTGCTGCTTTTGGGTCATGGGGCACATGGTAAGATCAGTGAATTCCTTGGGAGTGAGCTCATACATTTCCTTGGCAGTGAAATGGGAGCATTGGTTGGAGGCGATTTTGTGTGGAATGCCATGGTGATGGGTAAGGTATTCTGTCCGTCAGAATACCTGATGCTGATAGAATAGTGGTGCTGACAGAAGACTGTAGGCAGAGAAGGTGAATTCATACCTGGAATATGTATCTGTTCTCATGAGGATAAAGCACAGCCCTTCCATGCTACAAGGGGCCAGTCAAATTAGCCTACAAACAGGTGAGAATGGTACCCAGTCAGGGACTCCGCATGGGGCTGTAAGTAGGATGGGTGTTCAGAGTTGGCCACAGCCAGATTAGCCTCAGAGAGGGGAAGACTGTGTTACTGAACCAAGGCATAACTCCCATCTCTGCCACCATGGGTCCACTGAACAAGGCCTAAAGTGTCTGGGGAAAGAGGCTGACCAGGGTGCACAGAACTATCATTGTGTCCAACAGATGACCATTCTTTCCCATGTCGTAATGTGGGGTATTATGACTACTTTGCCTTTGGCTGTTAAGCATTGCCACCTGGCCTTTATGTTACCAGGACACCATTATTTCCACTAAGATCACAGAATCCAGTGCTCCTGACTAGCATCTCCAGCCTACAGAGGACAGCCATCAGAGCAGGTCAAGGATATGGCTGGCTCTCACCAGTGCATTTCTTTCTCTCTCTCACTCTTTCTCTTTTGAGTAAACTCTATGCCCAACATGGTGCTCAAACTCATGACCTTGAGATTAAGAGTTGCATGCTCTACTGACTGAGCCAGCCAGGCACCTCTCACCAATGAATTCCTTAATGCTTTGGCAAAGGGAGTGTTTTCCAAACCCCCTTAAAATATGTGGTGAGGGGTGGCTAAGCAGGCTGCACATAATAAATCCAATCCAGCATGCCCACCTCCCTGAGATTTTGGATTCTTTCCTCTACGTTATGCCAGGGAAATTCTGGCATTTCAAGTTTACTAACTGTAGGCTACCATTAAGTCCAGGTTCTAATTAACTAACCTCATTGACTATGCCTCTCCCATGTGCTTGAGCCAACACATTAAATCCCAAATCCTGGATGAGCATCCATGGACTCGAGTTTGGGCAAACTGAGTCTTACATTCCACCCTCTTGGGTCTATTTCCCTTAGAGCCCATTCCCACACATATTGCTGTGGCTCCTGCCAAGACCGTTTAACAAGATCTGTAATTCCTTCTGTCTGGGCGTCCTCCTCTCAGCGTGGGCCTTGTGCTTCTCTGCCCAGGCTGTTCTGGGATCTGATTTGACAAGGGCCAGGGAAAACTGGAGGTGGGGAGAGTCCTGAAGCTGATGTCCGGGGAGACGGAAGCACTACATGTCTGCCCATATGTCCCCATTTCATCTCAGAGTCCCCTCAGTGCCCTTATGTTAGCACATTCTTATGCTGCCCTAGAAGACTGAGCTCTGAATTAGCACCACGGCTTGGCAGCCCCTACAATGACATCCTGGTGCCCGTCCTCAGCGGTGTGAGCCCTCTCTGCCTATAGGGGATGAGGGACCCCTCCAAGGTGTCATCAAGGTGGCCCCAGTCCACACCTGGATTTCCTGTCGTCCACTGATAATTTCCAGTTCTCTCCCTGTGGCCATGAGAAGCCAAATGAGGCCACGCCACAGTGAAGAACAGCTATTGCCTCTCCCATCTCCCTCCCTCAACGACGCAGTGCTCTCCACTCCCCCCCCCCGCCCCCCCTCGCCCAAGGATAATCTGAGTAATGGTGACACCTGTGCATGCAGTGAATCATCCGGGTGTTCTTCCCCCGCTGCGAGGAGGCTTCCCCTGTGCTCTGAATTTATGATCAGTCCAATCTCAGTATTCTGTCTGAGGCTGTTCCTGGAGCCCATTCCTTTACCAGTGAGTGTGGACAGGAAAGAGAGGACACACATGTATTGGGTAATTTGAGGAGAATTTAATAAAGGGACTATCTATAGAGGGGTGGCAAGGTGAAGGGAGACCCCAAGTGATAACGCAGTGCCTGGAACTGGGAACAGGCCTGAAGAGGTGAGGAGAGGGAGCCACGGCAGGGCCCCAAAGCCGGAAACCTGTGTGGAGGGATCTTGCAGCCAGTGGGAATCCTGGAGGGAGGGAAACTGAGGAATAAATACCCTGGCCTCCTCCTCCTCCTCCTTTCTTCTGCTGTCCCTCTCCCCCCATTGGCAAAACCCCAAAGCCTATTGCAAGTCTTTAGATGTCAGTGTGCTGCAAGCTGGGTGGACAAGGGTGGAGAGAGGGCCTGGCGGGCCACAGGAGAGAGTCAGGGTAGCCACCCCCTGATTAGAATATTAACAACCATCTTTGTGGCATCACAGATATTTATGGCATTGATATTTATAAAACGTCCAGGACAGTCATTTGTAGAATGTCTCTCACTTTGCTTTATCGGCTCATTTCCTCAAGATTAGATTCAGAGTGAACCTTCTGGGCAGGACTACTACAGAAGAGATGTAGTATTCCTACACCCATAGTGTCCTCAGTGCATCCCATCAGGAGATACCTGGTGCCGGGTTGTTCTATAATAGTAATTAGACTTAGATCACATGATGAAGGCAGTGTTTGCCAGATCAGGCTAGCTTTCGATAAACTTACAAACCTGAGAATTATTGACACTAACTTTCTGAGCAGCCAAAGGGACTGCAGCACACCTGACCTGCCTTCATCTTTTCTCATCCCCTCTGGGAACACCAGGAAGAGAGTCTTGATGGCCCGAAATGGGGAGAGAGTGTCAAGACTCTGTAGTGCTGTCACTTGTTCCCAGTTCTCCTGAGGCCACTGGAAATCTCTCCACAGCTATTTTCTGTCTGGAGCTGCGGAGTCCCGCATGGAGATGAGGCCCCTTGCCAGAGGTCTCTCCGTGCGTCCCTGTAGGTGCGCACTTCTGCGCATGTGTGTTAGTAAGTTTGTACTCGGGCGACCGGCTGGCTCCGTCGGAGGGAGAACCACGTGATGTAGGATCTCGAGCCGCAAGAGATTACTTTAAAAAAAAAAAAAAGGAAAGAAAAAAAGAAAACAGGTATGTGCACTGTGCCTATACGTGTGTGCAAAATCGGGTCTTTTTGTGCGTATCAGCGTGTCTGCATGCACGGCCCATTCTGTGCAAGCCTTCAAGTTCCTTCTAAAGCATTGCACGTTGCAGGCTCTGGTGTGGGCTAAGCCGCGCATGTGTGTGTGCGCGCGTGAAGCGTTTCTGCGTGGAGCGGGTCGCAGTTCTCAAGTGCTCCCCCCTTTCTGGGCCGGCTTGGTATGGTCTGCGAGCCCCTCTGCGCTTCCTCCGCCGGTGGTTGCATCCACCCGCCTCACCCGGAAGTGCTTGCCCGCCCGCGGGTCAGGCTTAGCGCCGGGCATGGAGCGGCCTGGCGGTCGGACCAGCTCTGGCGGGGGCCTGCTGCCCGCGGAGTCGGCCCCCACCTCGGTGACCCTGGCACAGCTTCTGCAGCTGGTCCAGGAGGGCCGGGAGCTCCCGGGCCTGGAGAGGCGTCACATCACGGTGACCTCCGGCGAACCCACGGCGTCCCGGCTCCCGCGGAGGCCCAAGCCCTGGGAAGCCTCGGGGTCGGCGGAGGCCCCCGCGCCGCCGCCGTAGCTCCGGGAATCCAGGCCCCGTCGACCTCGGGTGCCGGTAGAAGAACGGCCTGGAGGGGCCCGGCTCATCGGAGTCCGCGACTGTGCCTTCCGGACGGCACGTAGTGGGCCCCTGAGGCTCGAAGTCTTGCCTCTTAAGATCGGGAGAGCGTGATTCTGTCCTGCATAAACTCGGACCTTGGATGCCGGCCACGGTTATTCATCTTTTGTGCATTCGCCTCGACCAGACTCAGCTGAACTTAAGCCTCCTGGGAGCGTCATCGGAGCTGTCTTGTATCCGAGTATTTCTGGACCATGATCCTCATTATTTTTTTTAAATCTGTTTAAGCCCTTATAGATAAATGAAACAGATATACTTTTTACTTGGTGGGATGCATAGATGTGTTTTCATTATTAAAATGCTACTGAGGGCACGCTAACGGGGTCTGACCCACCGAAAACAATTTCGCTAATAATGTAGGAGAACGTCCGTGTTTATCTCCCAGTTCAGCCAATTCTTGTGGGTTGTGTAAATGAACTTGGGATTCAAGAGGTGTTAATCTTAGCCATTCGCCAGGTCAGCAGCTAATAAAAGGTTTGATGATTAAACTTGGCCCCCCAATGACTTCAAAGATATGTTAAACCACGAAATCCTAAAGCAGTAAAGGAAAAGCCAATCAACAAAAAACTAGAACCTTTGGCTCTGGGAACCAGCGGGTCAGGATCGAAGCTTAGAACAGGGAAAGCTGCAGCCACTTTCTTAAGTCTCCAAATAGGACACGTGGCTCCTACCTTAGTTCCTGAAACTAAGGTTTTTTGTTTTTCCTACACCTCTAATTGAACACACACACACACACACACATATGGCTATATGTTGATAGGTATGGGTGTTGACAGCCATGAATGATTCACACCATCTACAAATCATACAATAGGACTAATTTTTCTCAGAAATGATATTTCACAACTTGTTCAGGGAATAGTAGAGCATAGTTCATGATACAGCAGTATGTTAAATTTTTAAAAATATTTAGTTCTGAGAGAGCATGAGTGCATGCACACGCCAAGTGGTGAAGGGGCACAAAGGGGGTCAGAATCTGAAGCAGGCTCCAGGCTCTGTGCTGTCAGCACAGACCCCAATGCAAGGCTGGAACTCCAAACCATGAGATCATGACCTGAGCCAAAGTTGGATGCTTAATTAACTGAGCCACCCAGGCACCTCAGCAATACATTAATTTCTGTAACATTTATTTACACAGAATTCTAAGTTAAAAACTATTAAAAATAATAGCAAAAGCTTAACCCTTTGAACAACTGTGTGAGTGAGGCACACATGCTATATTACTCCCATTTTGCAGGCAAGAATGGAAGTGTTATTCTTGTGGGTTTTTTTTTTTTTTTTAGAGAGAGTGAAAACATTGGAGAGAGATCTTAAGCAGTTTCCACACTCAATGTGGATCCTGAAGTGGGGCTCGATCCCATGACCCTGGAATCATCACCTGAGTAGAAATCAAGACACCGAGGTGCCCCCTTCTTCTATTTAGTATAAAATATATCTGCAATAGAAACCTTGGGCTTCCACATTCTCAAATGCTCTTTTCCCATGGCTTTTTGATACATCATTTTAAAGTAATTTGATTTCCCAATGCTTTAAAATAGAAGAGTAAGCTCGAACATCTATTCCTGGCAGGTTAACTCTTGAGCCAACCAACCTAATTAATTACCTCATAACCTGGCACATTTTAAGGCATTGTTCTACTTCTAACTCAACCTCACAGCTATGTTTGAGGGCCCCATGAGCCAAAAGTGTAGCAGAGCTGATCTTAAGGGACCAGGGGACACAATGGTGAAGCAGGTTTTCCAGTCTTATCTACGCCTGGCACACCCTCACCAACTACTCAGATGGCAACTGAGGCAACGAAGGAACAGAGGAAGACCCACCTAGGAGGGGGACACTGATGATAAACACAAGCAGATCAGATCCCCTTTTTTGGTTTCATGTCCCCAGGAGCCCTAGCGGTGGTCTATACATGGTTACTAGCAGGGTAGAAAGCCGTACTTTTGAAGTCTAGATTATGCAAGGAGAGGGTTCAATTAAGACTGCCTGGGGCCTAAAAGACCTAACAGTACTAATTTCATCCATGCCAAACCAAGAAAATCCCATCTTGAAGCCCAGCAGAAATAAATGGTGAGCTTTCCCCTCAGGTAGATAGTACAGGGGCCTCGGGAATCTGCCACTGTGATTCTAACAGGAAAACACCCAACCGGCTCCAGGGGAAAAAGGCATCTTGGTAAGCTTTGGTCTTCCACAGGACAGGGGGCTGGAGGAGACCAACAAGGTCAGGGCCTGGGTAGTGCAGGCCTTCCCCACAGAAGGTGCCTGGGTCCCTTGGAAGAGTCCATGAACATACACATTTCCGAGCAATAATTTGAGAGTACGTACTTTCCTGGGACAAGGGTCCCTCCCTCCTCATAGACCCAACAATAGGTTAAAATCCTGAGCCAGAGAAAAGGACTAAGTCACCTGCAGGCTATGAGAAGGAAGTCACCAGATACACTTTGGGGCCGGCCAAGCCTGAGAACTCACAAAGCTGTCACTGAAAAAGTCAGAACACGGACTCACAGCAGGGACAACTGAGCACTGTGTTCGTGCTCTTTGTATTTTAAGTTCCTTCCAGAAAAAAGCCCCAGGAGCCCCCAGGTTCAAGTATGTCCCTGAGCTTGGTCCACTGCGGTCTTGTGTTCATGCTTGGATAGTCGTTTACCAACATCAAACCCCAGAACAGAAGATGTGACGTAGCAGGGTTCCCTCTTCCGTAGCATGAGTCCACTGCTGACTTGAGAGGGGACAGTGCAGTCAACGTGCAAAACACACTGCAACTTTTTCTTGGACGGGGACTGCGACCAGAAGTGCCTGCCAGGAACGTCGTCATCTTTTCCTTGAATCCTCCCCATCTAGTTTCTGAAGACATAGCAGAAAATAATCTTCTTCGAAGACACTGATAACAATTCCAAAAGACAAAACACATGGCTCCAATGTGCTGTGCTTTCAGATATTGAGGAAAAAAACCCCACAACTTCATTAATAGAAGTTCAATGAAAGTTGGCACTGAAGATTAAGTACAATAAGCAATTTCAAAAAGTTAAGACACCTTCCACAGAGAGGGTTTATATCTTCAAACCCTTTTTGAAATTAGATTTGAATATTCTATTTCCAGGTATATGACCACAGCAATACAGAAAATTTTTTTTTGCTACTCAAAACATTTTCCAGCCTGTAACTGTTGGAAAACACATGGGAATACCCCATGTCCTAACCAGGCATTCACTATTCCAAGCACATTTCCATCTATTAGACTTGTAGATACCAGTCTCCCTCTGCCCTCCACCACTCAAATGCCAACGTTTCTCTGATACTGGTAAATGCAGGAAGAATTTTTAAGTGGCAAAGAATGGCCCATCAAGTCAGCCAAGGGCAGTTTTCAGCCCTGCCTCACCTGGATTTAATTCAGCTGCCGAATGAGCTGATTGATGCGTTCGCCTCGATAGCCGGGCAAGCCCACCTCCTTGAGGAAGCCCACTCTATTCTTGGTAGCATGACGGGCCACTGAGAGATGGAAAGGACGTAAGAACTCACAAATCGCCTGGAAATTCTTCCCCGGAAAGGCAATTTCATGAATGAGGTCTTCCAAGCAAATAACACCATACTTCCCTGGAAAACACAAGGATACAGATTCTTTATGCAACATTTCCCCAGTACAGACTGTGAGGCTCTTATAGGCCAGAGCTGGGCAATCTGGCAGGTTTCGGGGACTCCAAGAACAATACTACCTAAATCGCACAGCAAGACCACCAGAGATCCTTGCTTTCTGCCCCACCTGACCCCTAAGATGCAACACTCACCCAGGTGCTCCTCAATCACCATGTTGTCTGTCAGAGGGATGGTTTTATTCTTGACCTTGGCTTGTCCACGTTTCAGGATGAGTTCCCGGACAGACTTCAGATTTGGAAATCTACGTGAGGCAGAATAAAGCACAGCCTTGTTAGCCCCTGGCGCCCCCCACACACTGGTCAGTCACTCAGCCCTGCGGTCTGGCTGAGGAGGGAGTCTCCTCCCACCCCTTCTCCCCACCAGAAAGTGCAGTCACACTGCAGCTGGAATGCTGGGACGTACACAAGTGAGGAAACGAGTAAAAAACCAGAAGGGCCCTATGTAATTAATAATTAAAATTTATGGATAGAAATTTTTACCAAAAAACAAAAAAACCCCCACCTTTCCCAGGCAAAAGCAAAAACAAACGCTAGCTTACAATCCAGGACTTTAGCCTTATACAACTGTCTACTCAAGATGGTTAAATCGAAGCATGTGCTGGGTTTTAATGTTTGAAAGAACACTACTTTTTTTTTTTCTTGGTGAGTTTTATTTAACTAATCTTACACCCAACGTGGGGCTTAAACTCAGGACCCCAACATCAAGAGTCACGCGCTCTTCTGAGCCAGCTAGGCGCTCCTGCAGGCACAGCACTCTTACACAAGCACTGCCGCGAGCTCTGCCTCAAGACTCCAAGAATTAATTTCTCTTCTCTTCTACCATCTTATTCAGCCGTAGTTCACAAGCTCACAAGCACTCCCCAACCCCCATGATACTTTTCTTGGTACATGATCAGCAGCACTGGGACCTCCTGCTCTGTCTGCCCCCGTGTTCCTGAGTTCTACGGCCGGCAGTTGATTTCTGGTGACCGTGGTCACAACAAAGTGTTTCTTCAACACAGAGACACGAGCCTTGGAGGGCAGCACTCACATGTTCTCATCATGCGCACCAATAATCTAATACGAATCTGTGCACACAAAAACCGTACTCACCCCCAGGTCACATAAGGTTCCACTATTCGCAGTGTTTTTATGGTCTGGGGGGTCACTCTGAAGAAGACACCACTGAAAATCTTCTTCAGGCGAAGCCTTGCAATGGTCCTCTGCACCAGTGAACTCACCCCGTTAATCCTGAAGTGAGCGACAGGAGGTCAGGTTCTATTCAGTTTTTGTCAGTCCAGCAAGGACCTATGAAATGTTTGCCACCATAGGGCACCCAGAGAGCAAGACACAGACTGTGGCTCACAGACGAGCAAGACACAGACTGTGGCTCACAGGCGAGGTCAGGAGGTGGCAGCTGTACCAACAGATCATTCTCACATGATGTGGGGCGATGCCTGAGGTGCTACAGGAACACACTGGGCCCTGATTTTGTGTGGGGGGTGTGTGAGTGAGTGTGTAGGGCTGTGGATGTCCCGCAAAGGAAGCTGGACTTGCTTCTGTGGGCAGTAAAAGCACGGAAGATTTTAGGTAAAGGAGGGACAATCAGCTTTCTGAGTGACAACCACTGAGAAGAGCATATAGGACAGATCTGAAAGTGTGACACCAGAGGCAGGGAGACCCAGTGAGCTAATGTGATGGTCCGGGAGAGATTATGGGAAAGGGTAGGGAGGTTAATAAAGGACTCAAAAAATAGTTAAAGCCCACAGGTTTCTGGTTTGGATGAGTGGGTAGGGAAATAGGAAGACGCAATTGTACATGCAGATTGACGGGGTAAAGTATGACTAAATGAGGGAAAAGCTTATGAACTCTCCCCTGCACTGAATACACTCCATCCACTTGACTTTGTTTCAGTTCCTAGAAAGAGGCCTTGATTCCCACAATTCAGGACTTTCTGCATCTATGCCTGGAAAGCTCCCCAACACTTCTGACTTCCTTCCATGTCTGCAGGTCTCAGCTTCAAGTTCCTGCCTTAGAGTGTCCTCAACTAGTACCGCCCTCGCAGCAGTCGACCCTCATAGCACTTGTTATCTTTTCATGTGTTATTTGCCTCAGATCGGTCTCCTTAACCTTAAAGGCAAAAACTATGTTGTGCTCAACTCTGAATTCCTAGCACAACTTGCCTTAGGGGCTTAAAGCCTATTACAGAGCTCATCTCCCTAGAAAAGGGCCTCAAGGTGAACCAAGTTTGCCCCAGCCTATGCAATCTGGCAAGTTCCTCACCTTTGGATGCGTACAACAAAGGCCAAGGAATGTTTATCCGGCACTTCCAAACCGTGAGGTTTCACTTCTAGTCGTCTGAGTCGCACCCTGTCACGTTGCTGCCGCCAGGAATCATGTAGGAACCATTCCAGTCGCTTAAACTTGACCTCTTTTCCTTTCTTCTGCTACAGAAAAGGCATCATCACCATTTTGTGCCTCTAGTTTTACTTCCACAACAGTAATTCACTGCTCACTATCCACTGAGTGTTATTTCCCACTATGTTCCGCAAAAAGAAGCAAACATCTTCTATTCTAGATAAGGTAAAAATGAGATACCCAAGGTAGAGTTGTGAAAACTCAGAAACCCCTAAAAAAGCCTCTGATAAATAAACAAGTTAGTTTACATGCTGTTAGCCAACGTTACCAACAAACGTTTATGGAACCCAACATTGTGTTAAGCCTCATAAAGTACAGAATGAGCATGAATTTGTTTCATCTTCCAGACTCCAAAATATGTATTTTCCCAAAACGTTTGGCAAATGACGAAAATTGTTTGGCCCATGAAAAAAGATGTTTTCTTCCAAGTAAAGGGCATGTTTGGTTTTTCTAATCAGTTGGTATGAACCTAAATAGTACAATGTCTCCTTCACTTTTTCCTTAACAAACTACTCCAACATTTTATCCGCAGAAAGCTAGAAATATTTGTTAAATGAAAACATGAACTGTATACCGGCTTTCATAGAATCGATAGGGAAAGGGACTGTTGATATCAAATCTAGTTCAACTCACGCTAGATATAACTCACCAAATATATTCTAAATCCCTTCTCTTGGTTCCCATCATTACCTCCTTCTTGTCCAAAAGTGCCTGCTTCGCTTGAGTGGCTTTAAGGGCCTGATAAGCTTTCCTCTTTTTCAGGAGATTTTCTGGAACCAAAGGGATCTTTTTTCTTTGCCTGATAACGGAAAATTGCGATCAGAGATCATGCTTACGAAACAAATTTTCAATGACTTTCTAAACCATCTCTTGGGCTTTAAGAAACATTACTCTAGTCAAATTCCTAAAGACATACTTCCCTGAAACCTGTGGTGTCTTACTTCAGTCCTCAAAACGGACCCCTTAACATTCACTCTTTCCTAAAGTAATAAGTCATGAACCCCTTGGACACTCGTCCTCGTATGCCTCCAATGGAGCTTTTACTGCCACAGCCTTTTAAAGACACCAGCAGCTACGTGATCCTAGTAAAACTCCGTGGGGTCGGGGCGAGTACAGACCTATCTTAAGTCAGGCTGGGCGAACCCCAAACTGGCACTCTCCAGTCCGCCCGCCAAGGTAACCCGAACTTGACGGCGGCTCCCTTCCTCTGACCGGCAGCCCGAATCCTTCGGCTCTTTACTCTTCATCCTACTCTCTGTAATCTGGAGTCTTTTCTATTCTCTTCCTTCCGTCCACAAGTATCCTTATTTTCCGCCACGGAGGAATAAACACCGTGGATGGCACCGGATGCTCAACGCCCCACTTGAGAGATTCAAACCCCAAACACTCACTCTTGCTCCGCCATGTTTCCAAAGCAGCGGCTGCCGGCTACTGCTCATGCGCAGCCCCACCACGTGGGGAAGGACCGCTCTATGTGTAGTTGACCATAGAGATGTGTCTTCCAGCTCAAGGTTTATAACACGGCGAGCCCAGCCAGTTAGCTGCCGTGAACAGCTGAGGTCTCGCTAATACAGATTCCCTGACGAGTTTGCACAAAGCTTCCTTCGCACTGCCTCCGAGCCCTTTAGGGTCTGTTTCATTTTCAAAACCCCGCCCCCTTCACAGGCTGGTGGCTGGGCTGTAAATAAACACTTCCCACTTCCTACGACTTCCGGTGTGGAGCGCGCGCCGCTCCTTCCGCTTCCCTGCGGCTGCGCGTGCGGAAAGGGAGACGGGCTGGCAGTAGAGCCTTGTGCTGGGTGGCGCGAGCTGCGGCTGCTGTGACTTTGGCTCTCACGCGTGGGTGGAGGTGTTTGTGGAGGATTTCGGATGGTAAGGAGGGCAGCGTCCGTTCCGTCAGCCCGGCTCCATCAGTGGGACCCGGAGCAGGTTATTTAACCCCTCTGTACCGTGGTTTGCTTTACCCATAAAACGAACCTACCCAATAGCGTTGCGAGGATTATGTAAAATATTCCATATAAAACGCTTAGCACAATGAGTGTAAGCAGGTAACACTATGTTGTTAATCAGTGCTGGATGGAAAACTAGAAATTCCTCCTTGCCGTCTCAGAATCTTCCCTCTTAAAGCTCTTCACCGCCTGGAATTTGCTTCTTTTTTTCCTGGTCTGCATAAAACAGTGAAAACCGACGTCCTGTATTTTGGAAACTTCCAGTGCAGTGCCTCCAGCACTAATGTGCATAGTGGTCGCCTGGTGGTATTAAAATGCAGATTTAAAAAAGTTTTTTTTAATGTTTATTCTTGATAGACAGCGGGGCGGTGAGAGAGAGAGAGACACAGAATCCGAAGCAGGCTCCATCACAGAGCCTGACTTGGGGTTCAAACCCACAAACCCCGGGATCATGAACTGAGCTGAAGTCTGATGCTTAAGACAGCCACCCAGGCTCCCCTACAATGCAGGTGTTTAATTCATTTTGGGGTGGGGAGGAGCTGATACTCTACTTTTTTAAACATGCTTCAAAATGATGTCATGCTTCAGGTCTATGGACTGCACTTGAGCAAGACTCTAGAGTAGTCTCTTTCCTTTTTCTAAACTCCTTCAGCCCATTTTATTTTTAACATTTCTTCATACTAGGAGGGCAGGGGGCATCCCTGCCTTGCTCATGGTGGTTCCTAAAGGTCTGGAGCAGGAAGTTTCTCAATCTTGGCACTGTTGGCTTTTGGGGCCAGATTATTCTCTATTATGGCGGCCTTTTCCTGTGCATTGTGGGATGTTTGGAAGCATCCCAGGCTTCTACCCCCTACATGCCAGTAGCACCCCCGGCCCAGATGTGACAAAAGAAAATGTCTCCCGGCCTTGTCACATGTTTAGTACAGTATACATATTTATCCCAGTGTCATTATTTGGCCCTCTGCACTTACAGGCATCATCGCAGATCTGAGCCTGTACTGTTTGATTTATTGTTTCCTTAATCAGATAGGGTGCTCTGAAGGCAGGGGACTTATCTCCTACTTCTCCATCTTCTACAGCTCCTGTCACAATAGTGGGCACCTTCAGGGGCTTTTTAACTAAGCTCAAAGCATCCTATTGGTATGTGCTGTATAACTAAGTCAACCGGAGAGATCGTGCCGTACACAGAGCTCATTACCTGATGAACAAACATTAAAGGACAACATAGTCTTTGGAGTCAAAAGACTGGTGTAAGACTCCTTCTCACTAACTTAGCACTTCACATGTGTCTTACCTTGTAAAAAGGCAAAAACAAGGGTCACCAAAGTGTAAAACATTTATTAGATAGGAAACAAGGAACAAAAATCAGTCAATATTTTGTAACTATCTGCAGATAAAACGTAGGTCCTGTGGTACAGAAGGTAGTAAGGAGAGAAGGCGTTTCAATACTGGCTGAAAGAGACTTGGAGGCCGCAATTCAGAAAGGTTTTCCAATGCGAGCAGATGGTCCGAAGAGAGTGCTTATTCTCAGTTTCGAAGCCATCTTTCCACAAGATGCAGAGGAAGAGTGATGGAGGCCTCGTCAACCCAAAATTAGTCACTAACTGAATACATGTTTACTGACACTGACCACATGCCCCGGCATGAGGCAAGATCCAAGACTTTTTATTTCAAGGTGAGAATGCTGAATGAGAATGGGGGATGGCCTGTTGTCATAGGTCCCTTTTTGGAATGATTTAAATCATGGAAGATTATGCAACTATATGCAATGAGGTAGGGCTTCATGTCCTGAAGTCTTAATGGCATTTTTCATTTTTGTTGGCCTGCTGGTAACCATTTCCATTTCCTAACAGCATCCCATTTCTCTTGTGGACTGGTTTCTACTTCGTCGTGTACCATCATGGAGTGGGGTGAGGTATCCTATCTAAATGGTGGTCCTCCCAAATACGTAAGCTGTAGGGGTGTTTCTGAAGATCTTGTAATCTTCTATTTCCCCAGTGGCAGGGCGCATGAGATGCTAAACTTCTCTGGGTTTTGAATCTTGAGCAGAGTGATGATGGAAGAAACATAGGAGGTCTGGGGCAAGACTTTAAGGATTTCCACTTACTAAGAACTGCAGTTTCCTTGTTCCTGTCTTTCTCAAGCTTAATGGTCTTAAGTCTTTCCTTCCATCCCTTTCTTTCCTGGGGTGCCTGGGTGGCTTAGTTGGTTAAGCGTCCAACTCTTGATTTCAGCTCAGCTCATGATCTCACGGTTCGTGGGATTCAGCCCCGCTGTCAGCACAGAGCCTGCTTGGGATTCTCTCTTGTTTTCTCTCTGCCCCTCACCCTTGCACACGCCCTTTCTCTTTCTGAAAAGAGACTGGGTGGGTGACTGGGTGGCTCAGTCAGTTGGGGATCTGACTCCAGCTTGGTTCACGATCTCGCGGTTCATGGATTTGAGCCCCACGTCGGGCTCTGTGCTGATGGCTCAGAGCCTAGAGCCTGCTTCGGATTCTGTGTCTGCCTCTCTCTCTCTCAAAAATAAACATTGAAAAAAAATCCTTTGAGGACAAACCTTTGGCGGCTCTCTGAATTGACTCCAGGGTTCTTTTTCCAGCATATTCCATAGTAGGTTACTTCTGTATTGTCTGCACTCTGGGATTATTTGGAATCTCTTAAAAGCTAATTGAGCTGTGCCTTCTCAGTAAGGCAAAACCACTGCACCCAACCCGCCCAGGAGAGGACTCCACCTGCAATTTCCCATCTGCCCCAAACCTCTTTCTTGGATAATGAACCTTCAGGAAGTGGGCTTTCCACTAGGAAAGCTTCCAGCTTTCCTAGTTGCTTCCTCAAGAAGTGACATGAGGTTACCAGGAAACAGGTAGGAAAGAGATCAGATGAGCCTGGAGTTGGGGAAGACAACATGGCCAACAGATTTTGCTCCTGATGAAAAACAAGCAGAAGGGAGCAAAAGTGTAAAGGAAAAAAGGAGAGAACATGTGAAGGCCAGCAGCCTTTGAGGGTCCAGGGTAGACCCAGGAAAGCGAGAGCAGAAAGTACACAGTGTACAGTAGGGAAAGACCAAAAACAAAACAGAAAAACCAAACCTTTTCCGAATTATTTCAGGGGTAATGCCTCTTAGCTTCTCCTACCTTCCGTACTTCTTCAGTAACACCTCCTTTTATACCTTAAGTGGAGGACCAGGAGAGAGCTTCCCATTTCATAGGCAGGCGGTTGAGGCCGAGGGTAACTTGCACTAAGATACCTAGTTAGGTGTTAGACAAGGTACTAGAACCCACTTCTAGATTCTGCTACCCAAAGCACTTTCTGCCCATCCTGTGGTACTGCTTTCCCAGACCTTCGCAGAAGTGATTTTTTCCGAGGATCCTTGTGGCTTGCCAAGTGTTTTCAAAGGCTAGGCTCCAGCATGTGCCCGTGAGAACTGTAGATTAGGGCTTCTTATAATGGCCTTTCACAGGCAGCAACATAAGACACTATTCATATTACAGAATTCACTTTATACTATGACAGTGCTACTTTCTCCATAATCTTTACCCCTATAATTACAAAATGCCTTTTTCTTCTTTCCCGCACAAAGCATCATTAACCTTTTCCCAGATGTAACTCAGGATGAACTTGAGAAGCAAGGCACTAGAATATACATTGCAACTTTACCAAAGTGGCAGGTCGGGAAGGATCTTAGCCCCAGTTTCTTCTCTCCTGAACTCCACTCACTTCCCAAACGTAATGCAATTATTTGTGTGCTTGTTTCCTCTCTAGACTGTGAGCTCTTTGAGAGAAGTCCTACCTGAATTATCCATCTAGCCCCAGTACCTAGCCTGGTGCCCATGAACTCAAAAAATGTATGGTGGTTAACGCTCTTTTCAGCTGGATAGCCAGGAGCTGTCAGTCTGTCTCTGAGAGCACAGATGCAAGGCTGACGCAGAGTCAGAGCCTGAACCCAGGGCCTAGCCCCTTGAGGATGGCTCAGCCAGAGTGTTGCCTGAGCAGTGCTGTGTTGGTGGCCACAGACTGGCTTCTTCCTTTTCTCTTTGCCCCCAAGAATCCACTGGCCCCTTTCCCGGAACACAGCCCCCCGTACCCAGGACTGAGGGCTTTAACCATCCTTAGAGAAGATGCCTGGTCTTTCCTCTGGGCAAGCCCCTGGGGAACAGAGGCTGATCCGAGCCAAGCAGCTAGATCATCCTTCATCCATGGGGCACTCCCATTGCAAATGGCCTGAAGAGGGGAAGGGATGTCACATAGGGCACACGTTTGTCCTTAGAAGAGAATCTTGACATCAGACCAACAGTGGATAAAAGACATGAAGGGATCCATCCAGTGATGTAATTATTCTAGCAGTAATTATTCTACTTCCTGTTTATATATTGGTTACTGCAGAATCTTGATTTCCCGACTGCTGCTTTAAGGGTGGGAGTGGAGGTGGGGCACAGTTCAACCATAAGGAATATAAGTGTAAATCCTAGGCCCCAAAGAAAACTTTAAGGAGTCTTAAACCTTCACCCTGGAAATACATTTCACCCTATGGCAGCTTCTCTAGCAATCTGGGTAGCGTCCGTCTTGTGTGGGCAAGAACTCAGAAGGGCCTCAGAATTTATGGTTAAGGTTACAGCGGTCTTTCTCAATGTAGTTTGGTCAAATGTGTGCACCCAAAGAGAAATATGTCAATTCTGAAACATTAAAAAAAACACAAAAAACAAAAAGGGGGCGCCTGGGTGGTTCAGTTGGCTAAGCATCTGACTTTGGCTCAGATCATGATCTCATGGTTTGTGGGTTTGAGTCCCGTGTTGGGCTCTGTGCTGACAGCTCAGAGCCTGAAACCTGCTAATTATTCTGTATCTTCCTCTCTCTCTGCCCTTTCCCTGCTCATGCTCATGCTCTGTCTCCAAAACAATCATTAAAAAATTTTTTAAGAAACATAATTGCGGAGTAAGTCTTGTGTAAAATAGTTTTCTGGACTTATGCCTTAGCCTTCTTGTCCTTAACTGAAACAAATATAGTGATTGAAGAAAACCTCCTGCAGATTGAGGCTCATTTATCTAACTTCTCAAATGGCCCCATTTTTCCTTCCTTTAGGACTCACGTGACAAGAGTAGGTCTGGAGGCCGGAGATGTATGTGACTAAACTTTCTCACCAACCAACTCTGTTGAATCTGAAACTGTTTGGAAAGGCCGGTCAATGAAAACCTGTGTCCTCACTAGTTAGGCTTCTGTTTGGGAACAGTAAATCTATTTCAGTAGAACTCCTACTGCATGCTTACTTACCCTTTTCTTCTGGGAAAAGAGCCATTCCTATTTGCAAAATCAAGACAATCACAGTTGCGCATTTTCCCAAATCTTTGGCTGTATTGCAATGGTTGTTTCATTTCGTAATCTCCAACTAAACATTTCCTAACCATGGATTAACAATATAGTTACTGACTGGTTTCTTTTAACAGTATTTATCCAACATAACAAAATAAACTGCGATTTGTTATACTTTTTTTTACAAAACATTTTATAAATATTTTTACAAAATGTATACAAAGCAATTTCAAGTGAGACATACTATACAAATGAAGGTATTTAAGCAAATAAAGCCCACACCACACTGACAGTGAGTGACGCGTCCTCTATAAGTCAAGTCAGTCTGTAAGGCCTCCCTAATCTAACAAAATCTACTAAATTCTTCAGAGCTAAAATAGTTCTTTTTCGTAATTGCCAGTTTAAAATTTGCTTTATCTTTAGGCAGTACTTAAGGACACAGAAAATCAGATGCTTAATAACAAATGCACACTTTTCCCACAACAACAGAAAAAAAAAAGAAAATGATTTTTGTTACTGAGTACAAGTAGTTCTAAAAACTTAACCTTGACTAATGAACCTGAACTGAAAGTTGGCCGTCCGAGGCGAAGCCCTCTGGCCCTTAGCCGGAGGGGGCCCCCCCAGCATGCGAGTTATGACCCATGTGCGTACAACCTAATCACAGGAGTAAAATACATTTCGTAATCTTCATTTGTCATTATCTAGAATCTTTCCTCCATAGAAAGTAAACTTACATACAAGGACACAAAAATTTACAAGTTTCATTTTGGTAAGTTAGGCTCTCCATTTGCTAGACAAGTGTTAGGGCTCAAAAGACCCTTCGAGATGGTATGTAGAAAGGCTGGGAGTGGGTTAGCAGAGCAGGATGGGGGAGAAAGGGAGGTGACGAATGTACCTGAAGCTTTATCTTTTCTCTTAAGAATTCCACTGATTGGCAGTAATTAACGTAACTCATTGGTAGCCTACATGAAGGCTTCCAGGTAGAAAGTTCCACTATGAGAAGAATTTGATTAGGAGGGACCATCTTTAAGTCTTGCTAGGAACGAAGGCAGCATGAGTCCTAAGAGAAGAAGAGCCTATGAAATCATGGTGTTCAGGACGGGTGTTACCCCGGGGCGGCCCAAACGGAAAGTTCCAACTGGCAATACCAACTTATCCTTCTAATATGTTACAATACAGGAAAAAAGGGGAAATCTGCAACTTGGATGTTGGCACAAATAAGGAAAAAATGGGAACCCCAAAATGGCCCAGATTTTCCGAGTTCTATTGGCCGGGGGTGTGGGTGGGGAAAAGGAACTTTGCTTTAATGAAGACTGGCTGTCTGAGGGGGGTTTCTTGCAGTGCGGGGAGAGGGGCAGGGAGAGAGTCTGGGTCTTCCGTTGCCATGCTTTCCAATTATCAGAAGCCTTCCTTTCCATCACAGGCCAATCTGGAAAAGAAGCACCCAACATGACAATGGGCGTCATCCTCATTCTGGCAATAGCCAGAAACAGGTGCTGGCAACACATCAGAGTGGAGACCGGTGGGTGTAACCCCTAAAGCCAGAGAGATCAATAGGATAAATGAGAGAGTGCGTGCACATGGGAGGAAGAATGGGTGGGTCCACACTTCACCAGAAATGACCTCTGGATGGGAACAGCTCAGATACATGCACGCGCACGTGGGGAGACTGCATACGAAATACCGTTATGTTGCTTTTTCCCAATGACGGGAGAGAAGGGCTGGCTACAATGACACTGGGGATGAAGGGAACAGCCAAGATGGGATGACCTGGGGCATGAACACAAGGAAGGAAAACGGGGAAAGCTCCCTGAAAAGAAATATAAATAAATAAAGCAATAGGTCATGTTCACTAATAGGAACACGGGCCACACACAGACCATGACAGGGCGTGTCCTTTGGCTCGCAGGTGGGAATCCCATGTCTCAGATCTTTTCTTTCTATGGGGGGCTGGATGGTTACTTTGGTTTGTCTGTGTTTTGGTAATGATTGCTGCCGGGGGAGGGGTGTGTGTGTGACTACTGTTCTCAGACCAGAAGCATAAACAAGGCCAAAGTCCTCTTAGAGTTTAAACTGAAACATCACAACACAGTTTTCAAATGAAAGTGCTTTGGACGCTTGGCTGTTTGTGGGAGAGGGTGCAGAGGGGTTCAACGAAAGGAAACCCAGCAACAAACAAAAACGTACGCCATACGTTGACTAAATCCAATTGTAAAATGCGAAACGCTTGTTTTTTTCCTCGATAGTTAACATATATATGCTTTTACATATATACACATATTATATTCCTCAACGCTGTCTCCTGGCCGCCCCTGTACACTGTGCCACTGAACTGGTTTCCGTTTTCCTTTATTTTAGCCTGGTGAAATGATCGCAAGTCATGCTGTTGCCACTAAGAACGGAGCGTTCCCCAGATGAAATGCACCGCGCGGATGCCGAAAAGCATGAGATTTTGCTCCCCGAGCATCGGAAAAGCCCTCGGACGATGAACAAGGATGCCCTGCGAATGCCCTGCTTGTGGCCCTGCTTGTGTGCTACTGGCTGCGTCCTCGGGGTTGTGGGGTCCCTGGCGGAGCCGCTGGCAACTTCCTGCTCAGAGGTGGCCCGTGGCGGGGCGGGGACACACAACCACAACTGAGCGGTCTCCCCTCCAACAACAACAACAACAACAAACCCAAAAAAGCAAAGCTGGGAGATGCAGTGGGATATTCTTTTCACAGAGTAGCTTCTATCGGTCCTGTTTGCTTTTTTTTAAATAAGTCTTTTCTTTTCAAATGACTTAATGATTGTCAGAATTTTACCCAGGGCCACATGTACTGTGATCTCAGTGAGTTATGATGTTTTGTTTTGTTTTTAAATAAAACAAGTAAACAAACACACAAAAATAAAGGACTATAAGCGCTTTCGTTAACACTTGAAATGTGTAGGGCCTATCAGACTGCTTTCTAACAAGGATTAATTTCGCGAAAGGATCTCCCTGTAACCACCACGAGTATTGCTCTTAAACAAAGAATGGGATTGAAGATCAGAAAGAATAACCTGTGATGAAAGATCAAGCAGGCTGGAGACAGGAGAACACTTCCATTTGCTTTTGCCAGGAAAGAATGTAACTTGTCCGGGGCGGGGTCTCGGGACGGGGTAGGGGTGGGGGCTGCTGCTATTAACACTCTAGGATACTATTTACAGCTGCTTCTAAAATGGAGTCAGTTTCTACAATGCCTTCACTGTGGTCCGGGATGAACTTTTCCAGGCAGTTTTCCTGCGAAGCCATTGGAGAGAAGCTGGGGAAATCTAACTCAACAGAGCCACTAACCGTGGGGTCACTCTGGGGCTGCCGCCCAGCCTTTTTGAGTTCCAAGATGTTCTTAAATGTTGTTTCTAAGCTCTTGGTGAGCTGGAGGTCTGGCTGGGGCTCGCCTGACCCTTTCATGATGTCTGTGTGTAAAACTTCATTCTTTGGAGAATTCCTCAGAGTTTTGTCCTGGAAGGAATTGTTACACGTCATCTCCAAGTGAGAATCGACTAGGATGCTCGGGAGTTTGCTCTCAGTACCGTGATCTGGTCTGGATGAGGTTTTCCGGTGCCCTTCGGGGCCGGGGGAGCACTCGCTGGCCTTCGTGGGCTCTCTCCGGCCGCCCTTCTCCTCGGACGTAGCCCGGTACTGTGCTAAGCCCACTTTGTCAAATTTCAGTGCTCTGCCGAGGCATTCAGTTTTTTTAGAAGCGTTTCCTTCTGCGGGGACCACGATGTGATTAGGCACTAGATGAAACTGGTCATGATTCGTCGGTTCTGCCGTGCCTGGCTTGGCTCGGTCTCGGCTTTGGGCCTTGGCTGTCAGGTGCAGAGAGCTGGGTGTTTTACTGCCGTGCTGGTCACTCCGGCCAAACTGCGTCTCATCAGCAGCTTTGTCAAGTTGGAAGGAACAACAGAAATCAGCCTGAAAACCCTCTGGGAATGGGAGCAAAAAGAACAGGAATGGGTGAACAAGATAGGAAGATTTATACGACAGACCCTCAGGGGGTCAAGTGCCAGCCCAGCCCAGCCCAGCGAGCCAGTCTTTCGTGCCCAGGACTGCGCAGAAGCATGTCACTTGAGGGGCCTCCTATTAAACATGGCTTCCAGACAAGAAGCTTAAGCCTCTTTGAAAAGGTAGCTGCTTGGTGGGTGACAAATGGGAAAACCAAATGAGTAAAACGCTCTACTTTGTCTTGATCTCTTTGTGTTCCCTCTCTCTTTCTCTCTTTTTCAAGTTTATTTACTTATGTATTTAAGTAATCTCTATACCCAAATGTGGGGCTTGAACTCATAACCCCGAGATCAAGAGGGATCTAATCCAACCAGGCGCCCCTCTTAGTGTTATCTTTAAGCTAGTTTTTAAATTACTGCTCCGAAATAGCCTGAAAACCAAAATTAGATGCCAGTATCAGCTTGGTTTCTCCCTTGGAGCAGAGGGCCATGGAATGAGGCTTTAGGACAGGGTGGGAGTGGATACAACTACTTCTGTCTTTGGGTGATGGCACATCGGTCCCTAGAGACACATGTGAGGGGACCTGGCGTTATAGCTGCACTTTGTCAGGGCCACAAAACAAATGGTCAGTACAATTCCAAAATGGCGCCTGCTTGGAAGGACAATGTGTGTGGAGGAAGCGGGTCTGTGAGTGAGCACACAACTGTGCCAGGCTTGAGGAGCCCATGATGACAAGAGAAATGTTAGGAGGATTTAGGAGGTTGAGGGCACAGAGGCAGACTGCTGGTACAGAGGAGGAGAAAAGTCAAGTAGGGCTGTAAAATTAAAATATGAATTTCTTCACCAAACCACAAAATGAGATGTAGGGGATACAGCCATGAAATCTAAAAAGAAGACTCCTGGGGCGCCTGGGTGGCTCCGCTGATTGGGCATCTGACTTTGATTTTGGCTCAAGTTATGATCTCAGTTGTGGGATTGAGCCCCGTGTTGAGCCCCGTGCTGAGTGTGGAGCCTGCTTAAGATTCATTCTCTCTCTCTCTCTCTCTCTCCCTCTGCCCCTCTCCCCTGCCTGCACTCTCTGAAAAAAAAAAAAAAGTTAAAAAATAATATTTAAAAAGAAGACTCCATCCCACAAACACTAGCTGTGCAGGCATAATACAGAGGGGGGTGAAGTACATCCCTGTAACACTCAGGTCTTGGGGGCTGTGACAAAGTAGGAGGGTTTATCCTTAAGCTCAATTCATCAAAAGGCAATAGGAGATTTCAGGTTCTAAGAAAAAGGGACAGAAGTATAGCCTATATCATTCTTTTCCTTTCTGGAAAGATTTGAGGATTCTCCTAAGTACATAGCATTTCTTTCAGGCTCTCCCTTTAGACTGAGTGTAAGGATCATTTCTTCTCTTTGGAAATTTCATGAGCCACGTCAAACACAAAGGCTGGTTTAATACTTAAGAATCAGAAAAGAAGTTAGGGGAATGGAAGTGAAGCCACTGGAAAATAATAGTCTTAACAGTAGGGGAATGGATTAGCTCAATTCTCAAAGTAGTGTTGCTAAAAGTTTATTAGATATTATTATTTTTTTAAAAATATTTTTATTTATTTCTAGGAGAGAGAGAGAGAGACAGCGTGAGCAGGGGAGGGTCAGAGAAAGAGGGAGATACAGACTCTGAAAAACAGGCTCCAGGCTCTGAGCTGGCAGTCAGCACAGAGCCCGACGCGGGGCTCGAACCCACGAACCGTGAGATCATGACCTAAGTGAAAGTCGGACGCTTAACCGACTAAGCCACCCAGGCGCCCCTATTAGATATTATTTTGAAGACTCTAGCAAATGATGAGAACTTCAGATGTGATAAATGGAAGCCAATTAGAATAACAAAATCACATTTAGCATATGACATACGGGTATAACCATATGTGAAAGATGTATGCAAATAGGAACCAAAACTAGAAGGAAACTTGGAGAAATACAAACTTTTCTTTTCTAGGATGGTGCAAGTACGGGTAAAACTTACATTCCATGAACTGTGATAATGTTATTTGATTTAAAACATTTTAGAGGCCAGGGGTGCCTGAGTGACTCAGTCCGTTAAGCATCCAACTTTGGCTCAGGTCGTGATCTCACAGTTCATGAATTCAAGCCCCACACTGGGCTCTGTGCTGACAGCTCTGAGCCTGGAGCCTGCTTTGGAATCTGTGTCTCCCTCTCTACCTCTCCCCCCAATTGCACTCTCTCTCAAAAATAAACATTAAAATTTTTTAAAAAATTGTTTTAGAGGCTAGAAAAAAGTAAGGAAGATTCGTTTTTTTTCCCCCTAAGATTTCATTTTTAAGTAATTTCTACACCCAACATGGGGCTTGAACTCACAACACTGAGATCAAGAGTTGCGCTCCACCAACTGAGCCAGCCAGGTGTCCCAGGAGGATTCATTTTGATTTCATTAAAAAAACCCTTTTTTTAATGTTTATTTTTGAGAGAGAAAGAGAGAGAGGGAGAGAGAGAGAGAGAGCATGTGCGCATGTTAGCAGGGAGGGGGAGGGACAGAAGATCCAAAGTGAACTCCGTGCTGACAGCAGAGAGCCCACTGTGGGGCTCCAACTCAAGCACGGTGAGATCATGACCTGAGCCGAAGTTGGACACTTAACCGACTGAGCCACCCAGGCGCCCCAGAAAGATTCATTAAAAAAAAATTTTTTTTTAAAATGTTTTTTATTTATTTCTAGGAGAGAGAGAGAGACAGCGTGAGCAGGGGAGGGTCAGAGAGAGAGGGAGTCACAGACTGAAACAGGCTCCAGGCTCTGAACTGGCAGTCAGCACAGAGCCCGACGCGGGGCTCGAACCCACGAACCGCGAGATCATGACCTAAGCGAAAGTCGGACGCTTAACCGACTAAGCCACCCAGGAGCCCCCCCAAAAATTTTTTTTAATGTTTTATTTATTTCTGAGAGAGAGAGAGAGGGAGACACAGAATCTGAAACAGGCTCCAGGCTCTGAGCTGTCAGCACAGAGCCCGAGGCGGGGCTTGAACACACAAACCGTGAGATCATGACCTGAGCCTAAGTCGGACGCTTAATTGACTGAGCCACCCAGGCGTCCCAAGATTCGTTTTTAAAAGGCAGATTGTGGGTCAAATCTAACGGCATTCTGTAGGGGTCAAGGGCAGGCCACCCCAAAATGTAACACAATGGCATACTGATTATTTCAAATTAAAACTACTTAAAAAAACAGCCTGTGCAAGGACACTCTGCCCCTCCTCTGCTCCCTGAGAGCAGGAAATAAATCCCCCGTGTGAAAGGTGCCCTCCCTGTTCTAAGAGGCAGAGAGACATTCTCATCACCAGAAACAGGGAATTCAGGGCCAAGAAGGATGTATGAACAGCCCTTGTTACTTTTCACTAATTTACTACTCCAGCCCAAATTCTGTTTAGAATTCCTTACTAAGTGAAGCTCCCAGAGTTAAGTCTCTTTATTGTGTCAATTCCTCATAGATTTATTGTCTCTTTGTCTAAAAAGTAGAAAAACCTCTTGCTGTGGTTATTCTTTGGGTATCAACTTCATTATTGGACCTGTGAACACATGTAATAAAACTTTTTTTTGGAGCGCCTGGGTGACTCAGTCAGTTGAGCATCTGACTTCGGCTCAGGTCATGGTCTCACAGTTTGTGGGTTCAAGCTCCGCATCGGGCTCTGTGCTGACAGCTCAGAGCCTGGAGACTGCTTCGGATTCTGTGTCTCCTTCTCTCTCTGCCCCTCCCCACTTTGCACTCTGTCTCTCAAAAATAAATGTAAAAAAAAAAAAATAAAGCTTTCCCCCCCTCCTATTAATACGTCTTTTGTCAATTTAATTCTTAGCGCAGCCAGAAAAATTTTGGACAGAGGGAAATTGCTGCTGCTTCTTCACCAAAATTAGTGGGAAACTGATGGGATGAGAGAAAGGTACTTAAATGGAGAATCTCATTTACAAGCTTGCGGGCAGGGACCCTCCAATGCCTTGTACATAGTAAGACAATTCAGTGAGGCTTAAATGCTTTTGGGAAGGCTTCTGACTTAATTTAGTTCTCAAAAATTAGGAAAAGAATGAGAATTTTAGGTGTATAATGGGGGAAAATAATCACATAACAAATGACAAATTCCAGTTTGGATTTTCTAGGCTATAGGCCTTCTTAGAGTATGCATCCACTGCTCTCACTCTGGTTTTTTTCTCCTCAGAATGCATTGTATTTTATTGTATAATATTTTAAAATTAAAATTTTTTTAAAGTTTAAATTTATTTATTTTAAGAGAGAGAGAGAGCAGCGGAGGAGCAGAGAGAGAGAGGGAGAGACAGAGAATCCCAAGCAGACTGCATACGGTAAACTCAGACCATGATGTCGGGCTTGAACTCAGGAACCATGAGATCATGACCTGAGCTAAAATCAAGAGTCACGCGCTTAACCACTGAGCCACCCAGGTATCCCCCCCACAATTCATTTTGTACCTTCAGGTTTTGTACCCTGAGGTGGTTCAGACAGACTCCCCAAAGGCCCATGGCCCGGAACGCCGTAAGTCCCTCTCCTCTACTTTTCCTCTGACGTTTCTTACCAGGGTCTACAAGTGCCAGACGCTTGTCTCGGGACAGAGAAGCTCTTTCCTCTTGGTTGAACATTCTATCGATCATCACCATCTCAGCAGAGGGATTGATCCGCTAGAAACGAGAGAGTCTGGTCATTTCAGATGCCTTTTAACCAGTGCAAACATCCCACTGTGTCTTTGAAACAAACGAAGCAACCAGACATAAGGATTTGGGTGTTTAGGTTCTAGTCACGTCCCATTTGGTCACATTTTTTTAAAGAAATCTTTTTCTTTAGGGGCGCCTCGGTGGCTCAGTCGGTTAAGCGTCCGACTTCGGCTCAGGTCATGATCTCACAGTTCATGGGTTCGAGCCTCACGTTGGGCTCTGTGCTGATAGCTTGGAGCTTGGAGCCTGCTTCAGATTCTGTGTCTCCCTCTCTCTCTGACCCTCCCCTGCTCACGCTCTCTTTCCCTCTCAGAAATAAATAAAAACATTAAAAAAAATAAATCTTTTTCTTTAAATATTTATTTTGAGAGAGAGAGAGAGCGCGCGCGCATGCAATCTTCGGGGGGGGGGGGGGGGTGGTGGTGGAGGAGAAGGGCAGAGAGATGCCAAGCAGGGCTCTGTGCTGTCAGTACAGAGCCCTCTGTGGGGCATGATCCCATGTGCTATGAGGTCATGACCTGAACCAAAATCGAGAGTCAGACGCTTAACTGCCTGAGCTACCCAGGAGCCCCCCATCCCCCCGTTTAGTCACATTTATCCTTATCATGTAGGGATGCAGTTTTTAAAATTGTGTTTTGGGGGAAAAGGGGATTTACATATTGACACAAAATTCAAAAGGTACTAAAGAGGATGTGAAAAGTAAGCCTGTCTTCTCGGCTTTCCCTGCCTTTCCCTGGGCGGGGGGTGCTCCTAACAGTGTTATTAGACTCTTCCAGAGTGATTTTATGGACACACATGCACTGACATTCTTGTTTATTTCTGCATACAAATGGTAGCAACTATACACAGTGTGCTGTTATCTTTCTTATTTCCTCCTCTGCTTACTAATATGTTAGAAATCTTTTCACTGAGATGACCTTTTTAAAAATATAAGATAATTTGACCAAATAAGTGGTCCTTTCCTCAAAAATGATACTCTTGGGGGGCCTGAGTGGCTCAGTCGGTTGAGCGTCTGACTTCGGCTTAGGTCATAATCTCATGGTTCGTGGGTTTGAGCCCTGTGTCAGGCTCTATGCTGAATGTTTGCTCAGACCCTGGAGCCTGCTTTGGATTCTGTGTCTTCTTCTCTCTCTGCCCCTCCCCAGCTCATGCTCTGTCTTACTCTGTCTCTCAAAAATAAATAAATGTAAAAAAAATTTTTTTTTAAATGGTGCTCATTTTGACATCTCAGCATTTTGTTTCTGAAATGGTTGTCAAAATGAGAACAACTATTTCAAGCTTTGGAGGCATAATTTTAAGTAAATATAAGTAAGTAAATATATATGTTAAAATTTTTTTTTAATGTTTATTCATATTTGAGAGAGAGACAAAGTGCAAGCAAGGATGGGGCAGAGAGAGAAGGAGACAGAATCGAAAGCAGGCTCCAGGCTCTGAGCTGTCAGCACAGAGCCCGATGTGGGGCTAGAACCCATGAATTGTGAGATCATGACCTGAGCTGAAGTTGGACACTTAACTGACTGAGCCACCCAGGCGCCCCAGTGTATACATACATGTAAGTAAACGTCAACACACACACGTATTTACACTGTATTATCTATGTGTATCATGTAGTTCAACTATGTCCCCAAGGGACATTTTCAAGGTTGATCTTAAATTTAAAACTTCCTGTAAGAGGCCAATTTATAGGTTAAGGCTGATATGATTTTAGAATTGTTTCTAAAACTCAGAAGAGGTTTGGGCTTTCTATCATTTCCTGAGGTATCTTACATTTTTCTCTAATTAACTGATGCTTTAAAACTAATTTTAGCATCTATTTAGGGAGATGAAAATGTTCTGGAATTAGACAATGATGATGGTTGCACAAACCTATGAACACACTAAAACCCATCAAGTTGTATGCTTATATCTATTTATATTCATATTTATATTTTTTTAGTAGGGCTTCTTGTCCAGCATGGAGCCCAGCACGGGGCATGAACGCAAGACCGTAAGATCAAGATCTGAACTGAGAACAAGATGCTAAACTGGCTGAGCCACCCAGGCGCCCCCAAGGTGTACATTTTTAAATCGTGCATGAATTTTATGGCCTGTTCATGATTACTCAGTTGAAAACATGATAAAACGAATTTCAACGAATTGTTGTCACCTCTTCCTTTCCGAGGTTACTTTGAACAACCTTCCTCCCATCTCTGGGCTGGTGAGAGGCAGCAGACTGCATCAGAATGTGGATGGGGACGGGGGGGTCTCACATGGTCCTGGTCTTCCCCCAGCTCTGCTAATTACTCTGTAAGCTTACTGGCTGTGGAATGTTAGGCAAGTGACTTAGCCAAAGCCCTAGTTTCCTCCCTGGGGACCAGGAAAGCCATGGCACATGCGTGTGCTGTGATCGTGCGTGTAAAGTGCACCAAATGCCAAGTGTTTAAGTACTAGTCAGTACGTTTTTCTACAGTCTTCAGTGTCTGTGCCATTTAAACTATGTCAGGAAAATGTAATTCCCTGAAGTTTTTTTTTTTCTTTCTGAATTAGTAGCTGTGACTTGCAGAGTTTTAAAAAACAAATACGTGCGGTAGCAGGATTTTTACCATGGCATCTTCTAGAAGCAGGCATCTGTATTTGTTAAGCATAGCCTGGGTCCTTTTTAGGAGTTGAGTGGCAACTGCTTCAAATTCATTGTCGACTTTAAAAAAAAAAAAGGAGAGAAAGAGAGAAAATGGTTAAGACGGTGCAAATCACTCAATAGGTCTTTTGTTTCTTAGGACCGAAATGCATTACTCTTCCATGACTCAAACACGTCTAGTCTGGGACAGTTTTCTCTTCTTAGGTTAGCTTTCCTTGTTTAAACATGTTTCTGCACTGCTTTCCCTCACTGTCCACTGTTAGGTGATCAAGTAAGTCATTTCAATACTAGCTTAATTTAACTCTAATTAGGAAGCCAAAACCACGATACTTTTAACATCACCTATAAAAGAAAACCATAGAACAGAGACATGCAGTAAACATCAGTAAATAGAGAATGATCTGCTGGTCTAGGTGACCATACCCCCACCACCACTCAATGGTATGAAAGATGAAAACAGTTGAAAACAATGGAGTCCTACTGTCTGGGCTGGGCAGACCGGTTTTTATGCGAGGACACAAACTAGTTCATGATATCCTGCAGGTCATGGTGCTGTGGCTCTGTCCTTTGCCTGCCGGTCTCCAAAGGTTTCACATTTTCTAATCACTCCGAGTCTTCACGTCCCAGTATAATGCTAGATCTGGACCCTATTCCCTGGAACTCCCAGGGAAACTGCCAGGAGACTGCCAGGGACACCACTGTACTCAGAGCAGAGACTCCAGCCGGGTAAGCAAGACCGGTGGCAAACGAGGGAGGGGATAAAGCAGTGGAGGGGAAGTAAAGGAGTCCTGGTTAGGGAATGGTGGTGGGAAGGGAGGGGGGTTAGAACTCTGCTGCACATCTGTGAGAGGCGGCAGGAACACGCACCAGAATGGCGGGGCTCCGGGTAGGTGTAACGGGGCTCTTAACCTTTTTTGCCAGTTTCTTGACATACAGCAATGCCCTAGGCTCACTTTGGAACCTCGAAGAATGCTTTTGGGGGTTAAAGTATCGATCTAATTCCTAAAACTGGTAGTAGAAGCTAAAGGGTGTGCATTGGGCCCTGACACAAGAAATCACTGTACAGAGTACCTGCTTCTGAGCCATCCTATCGGCACCCAGCAGTCCAGACAATGCTTTGGATTCACCGTCCCCAAATGTGTCAATAAAATACTCTGACATCTGCGTATCCCTTCACAGAATATCGAGAAGAGTAGGTCACATAACCCTAAACGCGGACTGGGAGACTGAGTAAGTCGGGAACAAGTTAGGTCTGTGATTAAAAACACTAACGTGGCTACTCTCTGGGAGCCACGCGGCTCTCCTCTTCTGTGGGGCATCCACAGGGCGGTGTCTGGTGTCACAGTGGCACTCTGGGGTTACAGCCTGTTTACCTTTCTTCAAGTCTTCCTCCGTGGGCATGGAGCCCTGGCACACGTGGTAGGAGAGTAGCCTCTGCACCGCATCACTCAGTGATCGGAACGGACTTTTGTCAGGTGTCACAGCATGGGCTTGGTCCCTCTGTAACTGCTGGAGAATGCTTTAAAAGAGAAATTGGACCCTATTAGAATGAACACATAAGACAACAGAAACAGTCAATCAGGCCCCTTATGTCACCCCTGGACGCCAGTGTATGTGGATTACTGAACATTCTGAGAGGGATTTCTTTCTCATGAATGCTTGCTCTGAGGGAGGAGGGCAGGAGGTACATTTATCTACAGAAGCTCCAGCGGCAGATCAGTGGAGATCCATGGTGGGAAACCTAACCGCCACGGTTAGGTTAGTCGCATGCAAAGAAAACGCAACCTACGGGAGTGTTATTATTCACAGCACAGCAGTTCTGTTTTTTCTTCAGTTGTATACTTTGACCACCGTGGTGGGTTTAGAGTTTGGTCTCATGTCTCCACCGGGGACTCCCACTAACGCCCCTGGGCTCAGCAACATGGTGCTCCCACCAACCACTCACGCGGGGGTGCTCACACAGATCTTGGGAATGCCAACTAAGCTTATGCAAACATTTCTGTTCCAAACAGAGGAGTTTATCAGACCATACTTCTCCTCAGAGGCCCTTCAGCCAATCAAAGGGTATGTGGTACGCTAAAAAGACAAAGAACTATTCTTCTTAAGAAAAGAAGAGCAATCAGTAGACTCAAACTATATATGATATGCAGTTGACCCTTCAACACCAGGGGAGGTTGGGGGCGCACAGGCTCCCCGCAGAGTCAGAAACCCACATGGAACTTGACTTTCCCAAAACTTTACTAATAGCCTCCTGTTGACTGGAAGCCTTACTGATGACATAGTCCACTAATATCTATTTTTTATATTGTATCCATGATACAGAGAAAAGAAAATGCTATGAAGAGAATCGTCAGGAAGAGAAAGTACATCGACAGAAAACACATTTTCTGGATTTATCAGAAAAAATCTACCTCTCAGCGGACCCACACAGTTCCAATCCGTGGTGTTCAAGGGTCACTCTATTTCTAGGTCCTAATAGAAACAAACTATAGGAAATTATTTTCAAAGTACACTTAAAATATTATATGTATTGTTATAACCTGACTTCTGTTGTACATTTATTGAAGCTTAGGAACCTAGAGAAATGTTCATAATGAGTCATTTCCGAGGATCACTCACAAAGCTCCTTTAGTTAGTTGTTTCGCAGCAGGCCGCTTCTGTCCTCCCGCATGGCTTTCCCCCTGAGGACAAAACACACCTCTTATTACTCCTTTTTGTAGAAAAAAGAAGCAGAATATAGTTACACATAAAGGTCACGATGTCATGAATAGCTTCAACCCCTTATCAAGAGCATATTCGTTTTTATTTTAATTTTTTAAAGTTTATTTATCCATTTTGAGAGAGAATGAGAGAGCACGAGCATGCGAGATGGAGAAAGAATCCCAAGCACGGGGATTCTGACACGGGGCGGCGGGGGGAGGCTCAAACTCATGTTTGAACCGTGAGATCATGACCTGAGCCAAAAATCAAGAGCTGGATGCTTAACCGAGTGGGCCACCCAGGTGCCTCTCTGTTTTGATTTTTTTAATTAAAAATTTTTTTTTTTAATTTTAGAGAGACAGGCTGTGAGTTGGGGAGAGGGGCAGAGGGAGAGAGAGAGCGAATCTTAAGCAGTCTTCATGCTCAGCGCAGAGCCCAATGTGGGACTCGATCCCAATACCTAGGATCATGGCATGAGCTGAAATCAAGAGTTGAACACTCAACTGACCAAGCCACCAGGTGCCCTTCAAGAGCATATTCTAAGAATGTAGACTGTACCCTTGCTAAATGAATAAAACAAGCCAGTCCACAGACCAATGTAGCAAAGTCACATTGTGTCAAGATTATGGAAAGCTGTACTATCAGATTCTTGGAAGGACACAGATGGTATTTACAGCCTGAATCCCCAACTCTATAAGTGCATCATTTGATTTTTGAAGTATATTTGTGGGTACCAACTCCATGAACATCTGACAATTCATTAGCTGTTACAGTCCAGGTATGACTTAGTAGGGAATTTCTTTCGTTTTTTTGTTTTTTCTTTCTTTAAATAAACTACACTCCAATATGGAGCTCAAACTCACAACCCTGAGATCAAGAGTCGCATCCTCTACTGACTGAGGCAACCAGGTGCCCCATAGTAGGGCATTTCTTACATCAATGTTAAGGGACCAAACATGACTTATGTCGGAACCTGAGAATTGAACCAGACCCTTTACGGAGCATTCCAGGCGGGCCCAGACTATAACCAGTTTCATTAAACTATTAATTGGTGTTTGACGGAGAAGAAACTAAGGGCTCAGCAAGCTGAAAACACATTTTTTTCCCCTTCCTTTTTAGATCAGTGGTTGGGTTAAAAGGCCACAGGAACTGACTATTTCATATATTCCTGGTTGTTCCAGCAGAAAAATAAAAAATTCTCGGTATAACTAAGAGGAACAGATCTACTTCAGTTAGATAATGAGTGATACCATTCAGTGGTAAACTATATTTTTTGAGTGCCTACTATGTATCGGCTGCTACTATATTATTATGATGATTATTATTTTAATGTTTATTTTTGAGAGAGAGAGAACGTGAGCGGGGAAGGGGCAGAGAGAGGGACAGAGGACCCGAGGGTCCAAAGCGGGCTCCCCGCTGACAGCAGCGAGCCCAATGTGGGGCTCGAACTCACAAGCCGTGAGATCACGACCTGAGCCGAAGTCAGATGCTCACCCGACTGAGCCACCCCGGAGCCCCAGGTGCTAGTATATTAAGAATTCATGAGGAAAACGACAGTGTTGAAATGTGAGAAATAGAAGAGACACATGGATCCCATCAACATTAACGTAACACAGCCTGGCCTGTGGAGAAGGTCCTCAGGGAGCACACTTTTGTGAGTAGAGGATACCAGGAAGCTACTGCCAAACTGAAGATGACAAGACTACATTTTCCCTTAATTACGCTCAACCTGAGGAAGAAGCTACGCAAACTGGCTTCTACCTGCACAGCTGGCTGGTCAGGAGAGGATCCAACCACCTTTTCCTGCTGGGGCTGGGCCGTTCCTAAGGACACCGGTATAACCTTGCTTCCAGAATCCTGCCCTATTAGAATGAACACATAAGACAACAGAAACAGTCAATCAGGCCCCTTATGTCACCCCTGGACGCCAGTGTATGTGGATTACTGAACATTCTGAGAGGGATTTCTTTCTCATGAATGCTTGCTCTGAGGGAGGAGGGCAGGAGGTACATTTATCTACAGAAGCTCCAGCGGCAGATGTCAGGATTAGTAAAGCCTACGTGGTAATAGATAGAAATAAATACATAAATAAATGGTGATAAATAAAAGCTGCCGGTGCTGTAGTTTCTTGGATTATCTAAGGTCTGAGGAACAGGCCTCAGGCCAGTCACGCTGTCAGTGTGACCGCACCCCAAAATGCTCACAACCTAAGGGACGGGAGGCCCAAGCAGGAGGCTGATGACAAGTGTTCCTGCTTTTGACTTTTCTAGAATTTACTGAGCAGTGCGGGTATTCAAAGCTTTAGAAGAAACAGAAGACATAGCCCACGATATTTTTAGTCTTGGGGGGAGGGATTCCAAATATATTTAAATAAAGTGACTCGAGGATAGTTACAGTCACTTGGGCCGTATGACACTCGATTTTGTTGTTTCGAAGCAGCATGTTTTTTCCCCGCATAATTTAGTGCATTTAATTAGAAGTGCCTTTTGTTTTTCTTTCGTAGTAGTATACAAAATGAGGGCGGGGATGCAACATGGTACATTATTTGGGTGGAAAGGACACAGAAGGAATGGTCGGAGCAGGGATGAGGCTGAGCGGGAAGGGCTGCGTGCAGGGTGTGGGATGGGGGAAGAGTGTCCTCAGGGTGTGGGGAGGCAGGGGACTGCTGAGGGATGGTTACTATGAAGGCTCCTGACCTGGCAGTGCGGTGTTGAGGCCAGGGATCTGCGCTTGCCTCAGGCCATCTGTGGTCTTGGAAGCGGAAATGGGGGAAGTCTGATTCAAACCTTTTTTCTGAGCCTGTGAAAAATATTGCCAAGAGGAAAAGTTATTTTCGCGACTGAAGGCTTGAATAGGTTATTCAAAACATCGCTTAAGCCAGTTAATGCCTGCCCGGCATCACCTTCAGGTTAGATTACAAAAGAAAGCAAGAGTTGTACGCGACTCTCCTATCGCACCGGCAGGACTGCTAGCAGCACCCTTTCAAACTCTACAGGCAAGATGAATTTTCTCGACGCCATTCACAGGGATGCCACCAGACTGCTTTCTTGCCCCGGAACCGCTGTGTTTGGGGTGCCCAGACGCAAAGGTGGAGCCAGAAACTCACTTTCTATCCTTGGTAATTTTCTATCATGCCTGTAAGGGTTATGATCCCAACTACCAGATCGTACAGGGGTGCGGGGGTGGGGGGTGGGGAGGTAGGGTGGGGGTGGGGCTCTGCATGGACGCTGAGCACCTGGGCAGGGCCCAAGCGTCCGCCCCAAACCTACTGTGAGCACTCACTGTTTGCTGTGTAGACGATCTAAATAAAGCATGTGTCACCCCTGCCACCGGTATGTCTCTCGTTCACATCACGTCAACATCAGGTGTAAATGGGAAATGTAAATTCAACTGAATATCAGCGTGAGGAAAATCAATCTGATGTTTTAAATGGGCGAGTGCCTCTTTTCTATAAATGAGGACATGAACTGGATGAAGTTTAAGGACTGACAAGTTCCTTTAGGCTCTGAAAAGATCTGTTATCTCTCTATGATCCATTTAAAAGATGATGATAAAGGGATTTTATTTTATTTATTTATTTTTTTAATATATTTTTTATTTATTTCTAGGAGAGAGAGAAAGACAGCGCGAGCAGGGGAGGGTCAGAGAGAGAGGGAGACACAGACTCTGAAATAGGCTCCAGGCTCTGAGCTGACAGTCAGCACAGAGCCCGACGCGGGGCTCGAACCCACGAACCGCGAGATCATGACCTAAGCGAAAGTCGGACGCTTAACCGACTAAGCCACCCAGGCGCCCCTGATAAAGGGCTTTTAAACTACTCTCGATTTTTAACCTTCTATGTCATTATTGCTTCGTAGTGCAGTAAGTTTTCAGACCTTTATTTTTCAGTTTTTTATTTCTATTCCATCAGTGGATTGAGAATTCAGTGCATCCATCCTCGCAGGGGACTTAAACTATAACCTTAGCCTGATTAAAATGTTCCCACCAACCACTCATGTGCGGGCACTCACACAGTTCTTGGCAATGCCTGACCGTTTGCCAAGTAAGTTCATGGTAATATTTCTATTCTAAACAATTATCTATTTGGTTTTATATTCTAATATAAAAAATGGAGAGGGATTTCTTTTTAGAGCTATACATCCTTTTTGTGTCCCAAATGTTTCTTTCTTTCTTTTTTTTTTTTTTAATATTTTTTATTTATTTCTAGGAGAGAGAGAGATAGCGTGAGCAGGGGAGGGTCAGAGAGAGAGGGAGTCACAGACTGAAACAGGCTCCAGGCTCTGAGCTGGCAGTCAGCACAGAGCCCGACGCGGGGCTCGAACCCACGAACTGCGGGATCATGACCTAAGCGAAAGTCGGACGCTTAACCGACTAAGCCACCCAGGCGCCCCTATTTATTTATCTCTGAGAGAGAGAGAGAGAGAGAATCCCACCAGGCTCTGCACTGTCAGCACAGAGCCGGACGCAGGGTTTAAACTCACGAACGGTGAGATCGTGACCTGAGCTGAAGTCAGATGGTTAACCGACTGAGCCACCCAGGCGCCCTGCAAGGGATCTGACATCACCCAAGAAGGAAGAGGTGACTACAAAGTTGGAAATGGTCACCCTGCCCATCCTTCCATTAGCAGAAAATGTCAGACCTGCAGCACTCTATGCAGACAGGTAATACACTCTTCGTAACAAACCCGGAGGGGAAAGTTTCCAGTGTGCACAGCATTTCACCTAGAACACAACCCCACCCTCCTACTGTCGGTGGCTGTTCACATGGAGGACACTGGGGTGGCGGGGAGGTCTGGGGCAAACGGTGAGCACCCTCTCAGATATTTCCAAGGGATGAACACTGAAGGGCCACCTTGAATAAAAAACAAACACACAGAAGTTGGGAAGATGTGGCTTGACAGGCAGGGCAAGGCTACACACTACGTGGAACTCTGAACTGACCAGACCAACAGAAGAATAGATGAACCAGAGTAGATAAGTTCAAACGACCGCAGTCCTTACAGTAGCGCTGTTAGTACGCAGTTTTGGAATTTTTCACAATGTGCCTAGTTCGCATGAAACAGAAGAACGTCATCCTTACTGCTTTAGAGCATACAACCTTTTTTTTTTTTTTTAATAAAAGTGCCATTACCCAGCCTGATTGATCACCTTACTTATCAGATGTGACCTAAAGTGATTCATAGCTACTAAACAGATGAATAAAACAAAATTCCTACAGGAGCACCTGGGTGGCTCAGTTGGTTTAATGTCTGACTCTTGATTGCGGCTCAGGTCCTGATCTCATGGTTCGTGAGATGGAGCCCCGTGCTGGGCTCTGCACTGGCGGCTTGGACCTTGCTTGGGATTCTCTCTTTCTGCCCCTCCCCTGCTCATGTGCTCTTTCTCTCTCGAAATAAATAAATACACATTAAAAAACAAAGTCCCTCCATACATGAGCATACGATAAAGCAAAGCAAGAAAGAGATCACCACAGAAAGCTGTGGTTGGGAAGGCATGTTTTGGGGGGGGTGGGGGGGGCTTCTGGGGCGACTTGGCAATACTCTATTTCTTGAGTGGTTACATGGATGGGAATTTGCTTTTTTTTTTTTTTTTTTTACACAAATAGTTTATTGTCAAATTAGTTTCCACATAACACCCAGTGCTGGGAATTTGCTTTTTAATTGTTAACTGAACAATCGTGGTTTACACCTTTTTTTCCCTAAATGTGTTCTCTTACCCAATACAGAAGAGTGAAAGGCAAAAAACCCCAGAGCAATCTGATGTCAAAGTCTAAAGATGAAAGTAGTGTTGTGTCTAAAAACAAGGGTACCCCCTGAAGGGGACACCTCTCGTCTGAGCGCACGGGGGAGTGTTGTGTGGTACCCTTGCCCACCTGTGTGAGTGCCAGGCATTGGCATCGGTGCGTTTTTATCTCCCCCCTGCCTGTGCTCCTCACAGTACCCCTTCCCTTGGGAGGACAGTCACTGCGGTTGTCCCACTGTGGGGTTGCTGCACAGTGGGCCGGCGCGGGTAGGCCCAGGGCGGTAGCAGAATCAGAATGCACGGGGCAGGGAACCTGGCCCGGCCCCCTGCAGGGGCAGAACCTCCATCCAGCGGGTCTGTATGTTTGGAAAGCGGTGCCCTAGGGACCACTCTGGCTCCAGAAGCTCAGTGCTTGCTCCCGGTCTACATATTTTCAGGGCCAGACTTTGATCTGTCCAGCTCACTGCTGCATTCTGGCAGCGGGACAGGGCTGGCACCCAGTGGGCACACAGCAGACAGTTACTCAGTAAACTGGGTGGATGAATTCCACTGCAGTGTCGGCCGTGGAGCTCTGTCCCTCTTCCCAGCCCACCCCCCACCCCCCAGGATCCAGCAACTCTCTCCCATTCCCCAAAACTTCAGGTTGCCCGCAGTTGACAGTCTTTTCCAGAAATAAAATTGATCACCTGTTGTGTTTCCTGAACTCTTAGAGAAGACTTGCTCTTTAAATACGTTTTCTTCACAGATAGATTGTTTAAGGATACTTTGTCGAGAACTTGGCTCTAAGAATCCTGCTAACATCGGTATACATTTTTAATTCTTTAGATCCTATGGATTATCTTTGATACCATGTAAACATACAGAAAAACCCCAACAAATCAAAATATTTTAATCTGTCAACCTCCCCTTCTGGGGTTCACTTTGAAAGAAACCAATTACAACCTAGCAAGATAATATTCACCTAACAACATGCATTTACTGAATGAGGGAGACCACGGCAGGGGCGGGGTAGGGGGGTGGTGGTCTTAAGGTTGGAGAAGACACATAAGTGTGTTACCTGCCAGAGGCACTGAGGGCTAAACTTCAGGAAAGGAAGGGGCACTTTCTCTTCCATCTAAAAGTGCCAAGGCTGGGGCCCCTGGGTGGCTCAGTCAGTTGAGTGTCTGACTCTTGATCTGGGCTCCGGTCATGATCCCAGGTTGTGGGATGGAGCCCTGTGTCAGGCTCCATGCTGAGCATGGAGACTGTTTAAGAGTCCTTCTCTCTCCCTCTGCCCCTCCTCTGCTCTCTGTGTAAAAAAATTTTTTAATTAGATAAAAGTGCCAAGCCTGCCAATGGAGTAGTTTACCCAGAGGGGTATCTTTTTCTATTTTGGCTCAGAGGGGCACTTTTTCTTAATTTGAACAAAGGCCCTGCACAGAGCAGCAGAGGCCCTGCATGGTTACCTCATGTCACCCATGACCATGCTCCTCTGGCTATGGCTTACTGAGCCCCGGTGGGTCATTCAGACTCTCCTGGGAGTTTCGATGGTGGTGGGGAATGGACACCCAAAGGCAGTGGTTCTCAAATGCAGGTTTATAGACTGGGTGCATCCAGATCACCTGGGGAGCTTCTGAAATACCAAGTTTCTGGGTTCTATCCACAAGATTCAGAAATCCAATGTGGGCTTAGGAATTTAAAATTCTAAAAAGCTCTCCACTTGATTCTGATGCATTGCTAAGTTCTGGAAACTGCAGCATTTGCCAGTTTGTGTTACATGCTTGGATAATAACAGGAAGCTGGCCTACGGTGGCCATTTTGGTGGAGTGGAAGAGTGAGAGAGAACAATGAAGGGCAGGTAGAGGGCCATGCTATCTTGAAAAGGCTGAGGGAATGGCAGAAAGTCTGATTTCTGACCTTATAAGGAGCTACACTTGACTTCCTGAACATGCTCCTGTTTTGCTAAATGTGTAAGGGTGAATTTGTTTGGTTTTTAGAAATATTTTTAATGTTTATTTATTTTTGAGAGAGAGAGAGAGAGAGAGAGAGCATGCGCGCGCGTGAGTGGGGGAGGGGCA